TGTCAGAATCTGGTATATAACAAACATTCGAATATATATATATATATATATCTTTATGTACGAATGTAACACGAGACGTTTTTAGTTACATTTTAGCTTTCATTTCATTTTACCTTGATTGATTATACTTTCTAAATATAAATTGTAAATCATTTTGAATCGTGGAAAGTAAATCTTCAGAGTTTTATTTTTTTTTTTTTTTACCACGTATTTCAATTTGTTTGACGTAGAATAAATTAAATTTTAATTTTAATAAAAAATGTTATATAATGTAACGTAGTTAATTAAATTGATACGACGCATTATATAAAATGTTACCTGCGATGAAATTTACATGAGCATATTATTTGCATGAGCACTATATAAATATAATAGTGATAAAATTTAATGGAAATTTTAATTAATGTTAAAGAAATACAAAGTCGTAAAAACTGTATTAGATTTCTCTGTAACGTTTTCATATTGTATAAAATAATCATTATTTTAGGTTTTTTATTTTACCACGGAACAAATGTTTTTTTCATTTTAATTTCAATTTGCATATACCGTTTATACAACCGGATGTTTCTCTTCTATGGTAACTGTTCCTAATATTATAATCTTGTTGTATTATGTAAATCGTCTTGCTAAAATTGATTGGATTGATCCATCGATATAACGCACATGTGTGCAGATGTCTTAAAAGGTCTCAAATTGGCCAGGTGAGAGCGATCATATTCGTCGTTGATATATTATTCGAATGGTTATGGATCGGTCTCGAAATTTCGTATAATGCAAAATCGATTTGAAACGAGGAAGATTAAAATAATAATAAAATGCTTATTTTAATCATCGTAAAAAAAGTAAACTGTGTATTCCTTTTCTAACAAATTTCGTTACTTGCCACCACGATCAAACTGCTCTATTTCAACAAAAATCAACTAGGTCGTCTACGATTTTAAATGGAATAAAACTGGAGAAGTGGAGGCTTTCATTCATTACATTTATAACGCAATTATCTTAACAAAATAATCTAATAAAGATCAAACGGTGTTCTGGAACTAGGTTCGAGCCAGAGAGCTCCCCTTTTGTCGGTGCTCTAGAATTTAGGTCATGTTTAGATTGAGATAGAAAAATATCGTCTGCTGAGAGAAGAAATCTATTATTCTTTGAAAGCTTTTCAGTTTAGCCTCATTCTCGCCTCAATTTCAATTTCTTTCGAAAGCATTTGTTGTCTTTATAAAAAAAAAAAATTATTCCTCAATATCTTCTAAACGAATTATAATTATATATAAAAATTGTCTACACGATTCTTAATAAATTCAAATAAAACTGGAAAATATTGTTAAATCGCACAAGAATTATAAGAGTCTTATAAGAGGTTAGGTCGACGAAGGGTGTAAAGCGCGCGAAATTTAAAAAAAAGAAAAAGCGAAAATTTGATGACGTTACAAACACGGATGGGTGTGCGTCGAGGAAATAACAACAATTTCCCAGTGAATAATTCAAAAGCAACGAAAAGAGTGTCTGGAGGGCAGCGAGACGTAGTCGATAGAAAATTATTTCTCTCAGGAGGAGCAGATATTCTCTTTGTCCCCTTTAGTTTGCCTTTTATCCGACCGGAGGAAATTCGATTTTATCATAAGCCGCTGTCCTTTCCCCCCCCCACTCCTCTCTTCGCGACAGACAGCGCTCTGTTATGTCATAAATAACAAGAAGGATACCGTATGGAAAGTCCAAGAAAAAGGGGGGGCACGTGCGCCCAACGACGATTCTGCCTGCGAAAAAACCTGCCTACCATTATATACGGTTTTGTTTAACATAAGAAACCAATAAAGTAAAAATATTTCTATCGTGTAGGCAACGAATTTTCCCATCGAATTTAATTCCAGCATCTACGAGGCCAATATATGAACGTTGCCGTGTAAGCCAACTTCGAGACTTCGCAGTGATATAACTCTAATATATCCAATCTTTTCTTACTCTTGAGATATATATATATATAGATTATTTATTATCCGTTTCTATGATTAATACGAGTGTCGCAATAAAAGAATTACAAAAATCGTATCAAACTGCGGAATTATTCTTCCGTACAATTCTTTGGAAAAATATCGCCAGTACAGTTTGAAGAAATTTCTCTTGAAATTTTCGTGTCGTTAGTGAAACGGGAAAGAATTAAGAGAGGAGGAGATGATACAGCCAACCATGTTGGTGGAACGTTCTCAGAGGATACAATGGAAAATGTGCAATGGCGTCTAACGTTCTTCCTACCATATACTGGGGGAAATTGAAAATCCAGATTTTTCTCTTGGTTGCTTTTCACCCCGACTTTACCCTTGCGGATTCCTCTGTTATCTGCCGCTGTCTCAAACTGCATCGAATTTGTAGGAAGAGGTTTCGCGTTACGCTCAAGAGGACTCGAAACATGAAATATGTACCAAAGTGATATCCGGATTTGCTTGCGTGTCGCGGACACGTTTGTTTGTTTTGGAGAGGATACCACCAGAGGAAAATGTTATTTCTTGTTGTTGATTCTTTCACTGATCTTCCGAATAAATATTTCCTCGACCTCCTTCCTCCCGGCCTTTTATTCGACTACCTCCCACGGTGTATTATTCTTTAAGATGATATTCTCGAAACGTAGAAACGATTTTGATAGCGTTCCAATTTCAATTTATGAGATATTGTTGAAGATAATATCGTATATATACGTATCGTTGCAATTTTATGTTAAAGTGTGGATTTTCTTTTTCTTCTTTTTTTTTTTATAAATATTTCATTTCTAATTTTTCAGTATAATAATGAATTTTCATCGCATTAAGATAGAAAAATAAATTGCTTCTTTTGAACAAAAATTGCTTTTTGAATTTAATTCGTTGCTATGGGAACGATTCGAGATTTTTAACTAAACTAGTGTCGTATTTGCATTTTTATGAAAATTTGATGAAACTCGTAATTAAAGATCAAATCTTAATGAATTATAAAAAAATATTTTCATATAAAAATTACATAAATTACATAAATTCGTTGAGGCTGAAATTAAAATATTTTCCACCATATTTCTGATTATCCCTTTCAATTTCATATTTCATATTTTGAAATACCGGTTTTAAAAATATAATTATTACGTAGAATTATATTCCGTTTATAAATGTATCTGTGCGTTATATTACGATGCATTTTTGAAAATTTGCCCAATTTGTTTTTTATCGATCGAATCAACTTTGAAAAATTTGTTAAGCATAAAGTTAATATTACGAATAATTTATCGATCAAAATTTTTTAGCATAAAAAACGTGGAAATAACGTGCAATTAATCCCAAGACTGTCTGTTATTTTTCATACGTGTAATCATCAACTCTATTTATATATAAAAATTTTTACACAACAAAGGGAATGAAGTTTCAATCCAAATTCGTTCATAAAAACGAATATAAGTGTACAATTTTAAAATATCCGTAATATTTCAAAGGGAAATTATCCCGTGGTTAAAGTTTCATTGGATTAAAATTGTTTCGCGTGGAGAAAAAGCTAATATATCCGTAATAAAGCCTCAGTTGACTCGGAGGATTCTTCATAACGGTGGTGGAGCATTTTTCATCGTTGGGATACAGTATCTCGTGATGAGACAAATCGGTAGATAAGGTTTATGCAAGCAAACGCCACGGTATGAAAAATGAGAGATTCGCGTCTGAAGAAATTCCATTGAATGGAACTGATAGATGTTATTAATCGCGCGGGCGTATCTCCGATCTGCAAACAATTTGTGACGTTACTTAAGGCGAACCTTCTTTGAAATTACTGCCTCGAAAACTTGGAGAGGAGCATAAAGCGATTCGCCATCTTATTAAACGGAAAATTCTTCCCCGTCCTTTTGAACGTTTCCTACACGAGATATTTTTTGGTCGAAATTCTTTCGGAGGTTAATTTTACGTGCCCCGTATCGATTTTAAATATCTAATACATCTTATTTTATCTTATCTCTGTCTATTTTCATAAAACGAAATTTTGTATGGGGGAAAAATCTAGCCAAACACGTAAACCTAACCTCAAAACAATTCTAAATTGTAATTCGACAATAATAGAATTTATAGACTTATTTTTAACACATATGCTGCAATAACATTTAGGTTAGGTTAGGTCAAAGTCGAATTCGAGAGAAATATCTCATATTCGGAAATATGTATAAAATAAATTCCCCTGATCGATTCGCTTAAAGAGGGCAGACTGTACCGATTTCAAGGGATAAAATCAAGTGTATTCAACGACAGATTGCATTTTCCAGATGTATTCTTTGAATGCAACGGAATATCTTTGACGTTCGCTTATCGATCCGCATTCTGAATGGTTGGATTTCATTCAATGCTGGTGATGTTTAATAAAATCCGCGGTGAGATTCCATGGATACGAAAGTTAGAGGGAAGGCATCGTTAATGGCTGTTCGACACGATTTCCAACGCCCTGTCGATATTTAAGGGACGGTCATAAATCTCCGCGAGCAGGGGAAATTATTTAAATACAAAGGATCGTCGATGTCATTCATCTCTCGTTGGTGGATCTTCCGTTGAATGTACAAACGAAACGATATAACCTATATAAATCGTCGTTTTTAATACTCGTCAATCTCTAGTTGGCTAGTGGCCCGAGGTTTAATTGCATTTCTCTGATTGTTAATTAAATAATATCACCGAATGGTGTTTAATAGTTTTCGATGCAAAAGAAATTATTTAATGGCCGATTGATTTCCACAGTTCTGTTTTATTCAAACGTGAAACGATTGATAAACGATGAATTCGATTTATAATGGAAATGAGTTCGCTGAGCTTCTCTGAAGTTTAAAATTTTTATGATATTTCTTGTTGCGTGATGTTAAATTGATTACTGTACTTTTTCTTTAAATTTGAAATTTAATTATAAAAACAATTTGGAATAGTAGACATAATAGAGATATATTTTTAGGTTAAGTGTTTAAATGTTGATTTATATATTTTTAACGATATCATTTTCTTTTGTTATAGATATTAATCAGAAAATTAGTAATTGGACTGAAGATTGTGACGTTTCGAAATTTCGGTGAGTATTTAAATTTAGAGAAAACTTTATTTAAATTTAAGATAACTTATCAATAAACCAATTTTTACATAGAATAAGAAATAAAAAAATTATATAATAAAATATAAATCAAAAGTGACAAAAGAATTATAATTGTAAGAATTTTAAGTGAAATCTTTTGAACACGTTTAACAAAAAGATTGATAAAAATTAAAATATTACAAGTGGCCACTGGATACACCTATATTCTTCGCTAAGATTACTCTTTCGTTGTAAAACGTGTCGTAAAATGGAAACTCTTATTCTCCACAGATTTATCAGCCTCGTTAAAACTTGGAATAATTATTGCTTAATATTCCCGGTATTACGTAAAACTGAATGCATAGAAAAAAAAAAAAAAAGGATGCACAAGTATTATGAACAATGGTTTCCTAGAGTGTAATTGTGAAATATATTCGGACACATTCGTACGAATTAACTATTTTCTCTTCTCTTTCTTATTTTCTCGTTAAAATTACTAAATTTCTGCGTTTATCGCGTACTCGCGTTTCAATGATGAATTAATGCAATGCCATGTAATTTATGCAAATATATTATTACGCGAAATACGAGTTATACGATACCTTATACGATAAAAGGATAACTTTTAATCAGATGGCATGCATTATCCTAATATATATAATCGCAATTCGAGTTGCAATCTCGAGTATTTTCTCAACTATAGTTATATTTTTCCACGATCGTTATTCAATTTCGATTTTTCACATTTTATCGTTTAAATATTAAATATCGTAATGCGAACAATTGTAATTATTTACGAACCAGTTACAACAATCGGACGTTTAATATCCTTCGAGGAATAATTCAATTGATCGAAAGAAACGCGACATTTTATCTTTCTTTTTTCACCCCTTCTTTTCGATCTGGTTAAAAATAAGTACTCTCATCATTCAATGCTCACGGAAAGTACTGTTTATCTAGTTTTCAAGTCTAACCGGATTGTGTCACCGGAAAAGAGATAATTCTCCGCGAAACGTGGTTACAACACACGTCTGCAAAACTGCACTGTTGCCTCGGCTATTTATCTCGCATCAAGATTTCTTTCGCTGTTGAAAAATATTGAACGTACGAATCGTGTTTTCCTCCATTAAGGTGTTAATGCAATATTTCTTTTTTACATAACATTAATAATGAAATCACGTATCGTA